CTAGTTCGTGGTCAGAAGTTGCAACGTCCATCATCGTTCTTATTATTATTGTTTTCATCATCATTAACGTCATTATCATTGTTATTAGATGCAATATGCTCCCTTTACTTTTATACTTATTATTATTATCGTCGTATAGGGCCAGAATTACCACTGTCACACATGCGGCCACTTGACAGAATGGTTATATCACCCCGATCACAGAATGCCACCTTCGTCAATGCTGTCAAAAACGTTGATCTTATTCTCCATGCCGTCCGTTTTTTGGCATCGAAAGAGAGAGAGAGAGAGAGAGAGAGAGAGAGAGAGAGAGAGAGAGAGAGAGAGTTATGGGGACTCGCGACATAAAATCATACGTTTACCTCCTGAACGAGTTAAGTCCAGCGTGAGCGCGTGTGTGCCTCAACCCACACGCAGAGTAACTCAATGCTATTGGTTCAACCGCCTAACGTCGACCGTTCTCATTTGAACGCTCCTATGAAAACCTGCCTCTCCCCACATGGATCGCGCCCTCTTGCTAGAATATGCTTTTATATTCCCGCTCATATAATCTCCAGCCCGATGAAGCTTCAAGTTATGTTCATCGCCTTCATCTCATTCTTCTGAACCCTAAGAAATCAATAATTCTATTCAACGGCGCTGTGAGCTATAGCGATCTTGCGGATTATCATGGCAAGCGCTCTGAACTGAGTTGCAGTGAGGTCACTTCATCAGCTCCGCTGGTGCAGTGGGAAAATCATTTCCAAAGCCATCGACGATCCGCCGGCAATCTCGCCTCTTCTTGAACAGGTACCAACATGTATCACTACCACCGTCGAACAACGCGCAAACTGCATTGCACAGCCGATAAGCCCACCGCATAGATTAGCAGACGAACATTAGGGGGCTTGTTTGTTCGAAACCGAACGTAGTACCTGACCGGAGAGTCCTGAGATCAGTGTCTATCACCTACTTGCAATCGTCAGATATCTGTCCATGTTTCGTGTTCCCATGTTCAGCTTGTTGTTTTTCAACAATTTCTTTGCATCTTTGGCTCGTCCCATCTTGCATCGTTTCTGCAACTAATTTGGCAGGCGATGGTCTGCCGGCTGTCAAAACGGCCGATGGGGCCAGAGATCGATGTCATGCGTTGTCGTCGGTGTCGCTTATGCATCCAGGAGTTGCATCTCATATAGCCAAATATCTATAATGTACGTGTATACTTTTTTGCACCTTAGGGCGTGCTTTTTTACGCGGCGACAATTTTCTTTTCGCTATCTGTTTGTCAGGGCCGAATTGGCGCGCTCATGTTTTCACTCTCCTTCGCAGCTTGGAACTTTTGCCTGTCAGCTTGCCTATGAATCTTCGCATATCCTTCTTCTCATTTTTATACTCTTTCCTCCTTTTTCTTTTGTTTGAGCACGTTTCTTTTATTCAGCATTCTTATAATGGTCGGTCCAACTGTAATACAATGTCGTAGACAGGCAGCGCGTTTAAACTGCGCGCTCTTGTCGTTTTTTTCTACTGCTGGACGAATCTACCAGCCTGTGTCACCTCTGCGTCACGCCAACAGCAAAGACAACTAGCTACGTAATCCTTTGCCGGTACAACCGATTGAAGCCTGTTTACGTGTACGTCTCTATAATAAAAATATAATAAAACACGGTCTGTTTCATGTTTACTCACAGTATGTCGAATGAGCCGTACGAATAGGCTGTTGAGGCTTTTGTAGGGTCGACGGTGAGGCAAGTGAGGAACGCACTGATGCTGTCGGTTGTAGTGTTAGCTTAAACAGTAGATAGGTCACGGACCCCTTTGTTTATGTAGGTTGTTTATTTCTATCGTTCTTTTCGCGTTTCTCTCACTGTTTCACTATGTCTAATAATACATAAAATTATGTTTGCGTAAAGTACGTGAAAATGTACATTATTCAGACGAGATTATTCCCATCCGTGACACTGTTCCTGAGGTGTACCTGTCATCTATCATCCGTCTTTTGCCTAGACGCCTTTCATATTGGCTTACACGAATTCAAGTTTGCTATGGACTATTGCAATGGACTATTAAAGGTTGCGAAGGCGCCGGAAACTTGTTTAGACGAGGCCGAGTTTGTTTATGTTTGTATATAGTGTTGCTGTGTTAACTTTTTTCTATAGGATTGATATTAGGCATTGATATTTTGAGGGCGCGCGCTCCATTGTGTCGCGACTTGCGACGTTCGGACTGGGTTTGTTTCTTTTTCAACTTCTCTCTCCCTCTCTTCTTTTCCCTTTCATTCCCTTTTAACGCTAAGAGTCTTTCCATCCAAGTCGCTAGTTGTCTTCTTCTATTTAATAACTGTCTAATCGACACGAACATTGCACTGTTGTTGTCATCGCAAAATAGCTAGCAGACGAACTTTGGGAACGAGGATGAAGCGACTAAAATGACGCATGCGTTTTGCGTGCCTCTGATGCTAACCAAAATCTATGTCTGCCTTATTCACTGCAGAGCGCGGAGACCCGGCCGCTACCTGCGCACCCTGTCGCAGTCACAATACAGAAGTACTAACTCATTATCATCGCAGGCGCTGAACAAACAAAAGCGTACAAAGAAACTGGAACGGAGAACTCTACTCGCACTTTAACTGAAGTGGAGTGCGTCGAGTGCGGTTGCCATGTGCCCCATTAGAGTTACCTTTCTACTTATTCCACTGTTACACGTTTCGTAGCTTTATCAAAATCGACCAGGCCCTATCCCCCATTTTCTCCGAAGTACTAGTGATATCGCGTGCAGTAATATTGAAAGCTTTTTGTATATATGTCTATGTACAAATGTACGCGCTTGAATTTATAGTTGGACAGGCAAAGCGCTTAAAGAAACGCTCGGGAGCGAAAAAACTTACGAAAACAAGCTAGAAAAAAAACAAGTTCAGCTTTTTAAACGTTTCAACTTACAAATTTTCTAGATGAAGTGGAGCAGTCAGAATCACTGCGATGATTTCTAGCATACCCAGGTTTTACTGGGCACACGTAAAAGGCGTAGAATCAGCGCTACGGCGTTATTTCAGTCAAGCAAATCATTTAAAAAGATATACAAATTATGGGACCAGCAATTAGCTGTTCGTGTAATAATAATAATATTAATATGAATTGCTTATTTTTGCAGCCTTTTCTTCTTGTTCAACAGTGAATCTATAGCTTTAACTGTTCCAAGCTCAGCGTCTTTTATGCTTTTGTAAAACGTCCATTGTATTATGTTCAGAACCGTTTGGGTAATCAACCAACTGTGCATCTCTATTTATATATCGAGTGTTTCTTATATATTATATTATATATTTGTATCTTTTCGCACAATATATTATCGTCATTCGTTATATAATAATAATAATTATTATTGTATATCAGTACCAATTCTGTTTCTCTTCTTCTCCTTGTCTTCCGCAGCTACACTATTTTCCGTATTTCTTTGTGGGTGTTCCTCGTCTTTTTCATCCACTTCTTTTAGTTTTTGGACTACATTTAAACAATATCGCTCAGTGTATTCTTCTGCCCTATACTTACGGGCTGTCCCCGTCATCCATTTTTCTTTGCCAAATCTTCTCGTCTGAAGTGTGTATATTTCTATGTCCGTAAGCGAATGCGAAAATTTTTGTGTGTGTACCTACCCTCTAGTTACTGTTTCTTTTGTCTCCCGCGTTCTGCATTTTACGTATATTCGCATTTTTGTGTGTATGTAACTAGATAAAAGGGTGTGAAAGGTTCCGCCACGGCGTCTTCTTTATGTCCTTAATCGTCCCGGTTAATATCATCATCATCATCGCGATCGTCGTCACGGCATTTTGTTGTTGACCATCTATCGAGACGATTAGTACGGTCATTGTTAATTAATAATAGAGGTTATTAGGTAGTAGCAGTAGTATTCTATTGTTGTCTGTTCGTGCGATTTTCGTCTGCACTTATGGGTCGGTGTATAATGTAACTTCTCTTTCATGTCATCACTTCCTCTTTCATCTCTATATATATGCTATTCTTACTACTTTCACAAGCAGCACTTTTCGACTTATTTTACCAGTCTTCTCATTATTATTGTTATTATTATTATTATTATTATTATTATTATTATAGCTGAGTGGCGCTTCGTCCCTTGCCCTGTATTGGTGTTCCCTTATTTCGTTCTCTTTCTTTCTCACTTTCTCTCTCTCTCTCTCTCTCTCTCGCTTGCTTTCTTTCTCTCTCTCTCTCTCTCTCTCCCAGGTTTCTCTTTATTTTTCATGTTCTTCCCCCGCTTCTTCGCTTAAAGCTTCTCTGATTTCTTGGTGACGATTACAGATGTCGGCTGGCCAAGGCCAGTTGTCGTGGTTGCGGTCGTCGGCTGCGGTAGACAGAGTCGTTTACTTGAGATGGCCACGCCACCGTCCGACGTCATGCTCTGGATGGATGAGTGGTCATCTGTATCGCTATGGTTGGAACCGCTATTGTAGCCAAGGATGTCGACCTCATCTGCAATGGGAAACAATGCATGAGTGTTTGTGTGTGTGTATGCGCGTTAATGCCGATAACCAACCCGACGTCAATCGACACAAACGACAAACACGTACACACACACACACACGCACGCACGCAGAATAAGATAGAGACAAGGTTAGAGATAAAGCTAGACAAACACTTGCACACGGATGGTAGGCCGTGTTCATCCTATCTAAAATGGGTGTATATATTCTTGGGGTACTCTAAGGTGTGTGGGAAAAAGGTCAGCAGGAAGATGGCCAATGCCGCCTTGGGCGGTACACGAACCATTTAGGAAAGGACACACGGTTGACCTGCTATAAACATTCGATTTATGTGGATATAGAACCAGTGGCAGAAGTAGTGGTTGTACTCGTAGTACCAGTAGCCCTGGTAGGTGACCCGTATAGTGACGACAGCAAACGCTGCTTCCCAAGCTATGTCCCCACTGCGCTACCTGCTCCTAGTCTCCGCTCCCGTCTTTTATTCCCACTCCTTTCGTTTCCTGTCTTCTTCGAGCTCCTTGTCAGTAGCATCATGAGAGTGCCACTAGTAGAAAACGGAGAACAGTAACGGCCAACAGACAAGCGGTTACTTTAGTGGCTTCCGCGCGGCTGATTCTCCAGAACCAGCGCTTTACCGAACACAAAGTAATAGCAAATTGCGTTACGCTTAGCAAGAAGGATGAAATCGCTAGGTGTTTACAAAATACATAGACTTCAATATATGTTGAACCCATTTGTAGCCTCTTCTTTTTAACCTACCGACCAAATGGTATTGCGTCAATCCCTTCTTTTTCTTCATTCTCTCGTTGGCGGCTATCGGTAAAGCTAAAGCAAGCAGGTAAATAGTTTCGACTTTGGTGACAAAAGCATGAGCGCCGTTGAACTGAGCTATTGAGCGAAATGGCGTTCGGCAACTATCTAGTAGGCCCGCATGACCTCCATATTGGAGCACGCCTCATCTAGACGGTGGCTGGCATCTGTTCCTTCTCGGCGTTTCGCGGTGCTCTTCAAATTTCTGCCAGTTTTCTGTTAGTCATCCTGCTGCGTCCTGACTCTTACTCTGCGACCCAAACGGTTTTAGCAGATCGGCAAGCCGTCGCTGTATTCCGGATGGCTTGCTGCGATCCCCGGGGGAGCCGTGCGGGTGAGGTTAGCCCTTCCCACGGCTGTCAGCAAACGTTTGATTTTTGATTCGTTGTGGAATCTATCCAAAAAAAACTTACGACCTACTGCCGCGACCTTCCCATCCGCGCGTTTGGCCAGCTAGGCGGCGTTAATTGCCTAATCAATCAGAGCCTGTAAGCACTTTATTGTAGGACATCGCACTCCGAAAAACTTTCATTCTAGTTATCTATTCGCTACTACTAGAACTCAATACAATTGTAGGAACTGCAGTTGTGGTAACGGTTGTGACTGAGTGCTAATAATAACAGCTTAGCTATAACCGACCACAAAACTATATCAAATGCAATGTCTGGATCAGGTTGATTTTCGACGATGTTAAGTTATTCAGGTTTAATTAGGCATCTATTAGAAAAACGCGTTATCCGTGATTTATCATTTCCAATACTGAACAATTTGATAAAATAATGAGAAATTGTTAATAGGTCCCACAGCTGACATCAAGAGTTTCTAACCATGTAGAAACGTTAACTTGCAAGTAATAACGCAAGCGTTTGGCAACACTTCACAATTATATATATATATATATATATATATATATATATATATATATATATAATGATACTAGTGTCTGCTTAATGAAAGATCATGAATATCTAGTTTATCTGCACATTGTTCTGCCTTTTCCGATCTTGAGCCGATCTTAAAATATTTATATTAGATTGAACAAATAGATAAGCAAATAAAATTGGAAACATGGGTAACTTAAATATTCCAAACGTACTTAAAAGGAGCGCAAAGTTTTTTTGGTTTGTCAGACATCACTACAGCGAAAGGAAATCGCTTGTGCCGTACGGGTATGCGTAAAAGAAATTCAGTCTCTTTGCTGGCCACTCTAGCAAAAAGGCACAATTACCTGTCTTTTCTGATAGCTTTACCTTATTTTATACTGCCTTGCCTCGAAACAGTGCGGGATTTTACCTTGAGGTCTGCGGTCGGTGTTCGCTTTGTGTTTAAATGCCTACTTACAGACTCAATCAAATTCTTTAGTGGGGCCATTGTCAGAGGGAGGCGGTCCTAAAAGGACGCGGGGCACTGTGAAGTACAGAGGAACTCTGTAGGTTGGGGGACAATGGAAGCCAAAAACCAACGGAACATCGGGTTTCCCACCATAGCTTCTCGACGAGGGTTTAAGCGGGGACCTAGACCATTCCCGTGGGCAGCAGCAGAATCTTAAGCACTCAGCTTTTCAGGGCGGGTGCCGCTGCTGCGGCAGCCGCAACCCAAAGGCGGCGAGATTATCCAAAGTCACCTAACTCTCCAAATGCCACCCGCCTCACAGCTCTGTCTTGCTCTACCACTTCCAACATCCACTATTACTACTTTCAGTGCTATTACAAACTCCCGCCAGTGGAGATCAGCTTCTACTTGCTGCTGGGACTAAAGCAGACCAACAAAGCTGTGTAGCGATGGAACGAGACCACACAAAGAGCCAAAATCCAGATAGACGCAGTTGTCCGTCTGTCAAATGAAAGGCCGGTTATAGGCTGGAGAAATGGCTCCGTCGACCACTGGTGGAGTCACCAGGCGAACGTGCATCCGTTTGCCTGTGGGTGACTGGTAAGCAGTTAGCAGAGAGGCGATGAGAGAGCAAGAGAAAAAGACAGACTCAACATCATGCCAATACAACCACGACCAATCTGCCTCCATGTGTACCCAATGTAGCTGTGGACGCCTAAAAAATCGGCAGGGGCTTGCGCTACATGGCTAGCGTTCACCAGCCTTTCAAGACGGCCTGTCTGTTCTAATCGAGCAGGTCTCTGTCGGATTCAGTGACTACTACAGCCCCTAACATCTCTCACAGTAAAGCTAAAGAAGATGTCCCTTCTTTCTTTAGATTCGTACCTCCATGTCGCTACAATTTCTGCTGCTTGCCTGCGCACCGTCTTGCTGGTCTTCGGGGCCTTGAAGAATTCAACGATAGCTCGTTTCCTGCGCACTGTGCGGGTCCTGAGTGGGCGCCCAGAGTTATGCCTATCTTTTTCGCCCCCTCTTTGCTGCTTTTTTTCTTTTCCCCCTCTTCCTTTTTTGCTATTTCCCTTCTCTGCCACCCCAATCGAATGGGCAGGCGGTAACGGGGGGCTGGATAAAGTCGGATTTGAGGTAGCATCTCCGTTTTTTTGGAAAGTGGCGAAGCTTTTTCTCGTGTGTTCTAGTACCCCTTCTGGCGTTTGCGGTGGCAACGTTAACGGTGGTGACTGCATGATTATTTTGACTTGGGACAGATCTCTGCTACGCATTGCCAGAGCTCAACGTCGTCACTGAGAAACGTAGGGAATGACAACGCCATAAGATATAAAGAAGGAGAATGGGATCGGGCTCAGAATTTCACTAAAGAAGACGATTCGATCCGGCTTGAGCTATTCCGTAGTGCGCCAGGTGCATTGCTCAAAAAACCGCACACATTATGCGACATTGTGTAGAGATGGACGAACTCTCATAATATATCGCTATGAGATAATAAACTTAAATGGTAAACTCAAGCGGATCTTCTGTTTAAAAAATATGCGCACGAACAGGTAAGATGTATCCTTGTTAAATATTATCGATGTACTTGATAATTGTTTTCTCGTTTTTGAGCGTTCCGTTTTGAGCGAAATTCTGAAGGAAGCCTCCCCATTTATATTAAAGTGTCTTTTGACAATAGGGGCCACTTTGTGCATTTAGGCGTTCACAGACATACGCGGTCTATAAATAATTAAGCCTAAAGATCCAACACAAATCGTGGCGTACAGATCCCATATGACTTTTTGATAACCAGTTGGATATCGTTTAACAAAATCGCCCTCTGCCATCGTACTTTCGGTTGCTATCCTGGAAGGACATTGCTTACTGTTCTCCTGAATTGCTCCTTTGTGATTCGAATATATCCGGATCGAATCTGTTTCAATTGCGATTCTACACCGATCGGATGCCAAGCAATTGCACTCAATATTAATTGAAAATGAGAAAAAGATGACGAGATTCCGTGGCGGGAACAATTAAAGTATCCCCACTGCACACGTGCTGTTCTTCTTTAGCTTCCCCGTTGTGCCTGTCGTAATGAAACGATGATGACGGAACCGGGAATTGGAAGGCAAGTTGTCTACCGCTGCCGTCTACTCGATGGCTGGTGATGTCGTACATGTAATGGAGAGTAAGATACAAAACAGGAACTGGCCCGAAACGATGGATAGATCAGATCGACAGACACCCCCCACCACTCAGTATTACTCAATCGTTCTAATATTATCAGCTTTCATGTTTTGTTCTCGCAACTGGCCATCAGGCAAGAGACTAAGCAGTAGGACGGTAAAAAAGAAACACAGGCCAGTTTAAGTACCGACCGGCACATCTAAGCGGCAGAAACGTTCGTTGGACTAGTAGCAGCCAGAACGACACCACTAATGCTGTACTACAAAAAAAGACCAGGAGGCTAGAGTTATGAATGCTATGGTCCACTAAATATGCTTCAATTTGAGCACTGCTATGCTATGACTGCTGCTACATGAACATAATCTTGCGTTCGCTCTTTTTGAGGTCAATGGGTTGCTACGAGCATACGATAGTTTTGGCTATGGCACAAATAGTTGGTGAACGATGGTATACCACTAAACTATGCACGTCTTTGCGAAGCGGAGAAAGGCAGCGAAGGCCATGCGTCGTGGTACATCTCACAGACAGCACTTCGATGGCTAATAGCACACTTGCTCAACTGACGGATAGGCAGCGTTTAGAGAATGTTATGGAAAAGAGTCGGAAGCAACGAGAAAATAGGGCGGTGGATATGAGCACATGGGCGGAATAGCGGCAGGGCCAAGGCAGAAT